AAAACTTGCTTCCACATTTGAGGAAAATCACCCTGACGGAACATTTCATTAAATATATCCAGTAAGATTAGTTTAAATTTAATGGGAAGGGACCTGATGGTCAAGAAGTCAATGCCATCCATACCCGGGGCGGACCCATCTCTCTTGTCCTCAAGCGCCACATTAAGTTCCTGAAAGGAGAAAGAATGATCAAAAAATTCGTTAGAGGGACAAGCAGGCCGGTAATCGGGATTCGTTTGGACCCAAGGTGGGCAAAGCTTGTTAAAAGCTTGNTATATATATATAATATAATATTATTGTGAGGTTCTAGTCAATTACCATTTCCCGCGAGCGAGCGACGCTTGATGGTATGTACAATCATCGCTCCTCCGGCTAGACTTTCAGGGCATATGCGGACACGCACACCATGTTTTACCATGAAAACACTTGTACGATTTTGTTCCACTGCATGATAGTAGAAAAAAAAAACTGTCGCGCTTCGAGGAGAAATATTTAAAAAAAAAAGTAAACTCCCACCCGTGATTGGTTCTGAGTTTGTTTCGCGAGCTCGAGTCTGGGCCGACGTGCGAGGAGAGAGAAAGTTATTGTTGGCGAAAAAAAAAAAAAAAAAAAGAAAGAAAGAGCGAGAAACAAGTTTTACGCGTATAACGTAACGCGGACACGCGAATGGCCGGTCTTTGTGTGTATATATATAATACCTATATTGTGTATATAGACCACACGTTTGATAAGCCACTCGCGTGGAACGCGAGCATGCAATTGGCATTCCTAAAATTTAACCTACTCGATGCAAATAGCGTTATTGTCATTATTATTATCATGCCTATAGCTGTATACGTGCGTGCTTGTTATACAATTGGATATAATATACTTACACTTTGAGAGCCTTGTTGCTGTTGTTGTTGTTGTTATGGAGCTTGTACAGAACTCGTATCTGCGGAATTGGCGAGGGTTATTATGGTGACGCATTTTTTGCACCTTTAAAATCGATCCGTCCAAAGTAGTACACATTATTTTTAAGACTATGTAAAAATAATTTAAAAAATAAGCCAACAGTTTGTACCAATCTTGCGTTTTACGTAGGTATACATTGGGGTACCATCAATTGAAATTTTTGTGTAAAATACATTCTTTTACCTGTACATGCAAATATGCAAATTTCAAACTCGATAACACGCCAAGATAACATCCGATGATTAATTGTAAAGAGTTTGTGATAAGAGTCACAGCTGCCATTGTCTTAAGCTGTTGTACAATGTACAGATAGCTAATACGTAAATGTTTCAACGAGGAAGTGCGTGAATCGGAAAATAAAATTGGCCTGTGTGGTAATTTCACGCGAAGTGCCTGTATGTACGTGTATACTTTTACCTTATTTTATAGTTCATCATTGGTGCAACTTGTACAGAAAAATCTAGGTGGTGTGAATTACGCTTGTTCGACACCGACATAATACTTAGGATATGCAGGAACCGCACACACACACACCCCTGTATCTGTATATATACATATGTGTGTGTTACTATAATTTTCACATAAATGTAGGAAGAAAGATATACGTATGAAAATATACCATTAGCTTGAGTCGAAATTAACCAAATTATTTGATTGCAAAGGTAACTTTTATCATTATTATTCATGGCTATTTTTACCAAGGTAGATCAAATGCATCTACAAAAGTGGATAAATAGAAAAAAAAAAAAAAAAAAAAAAAAAAAAAAAGAAGCAAAAGTTTGAATAACTCCTTCGTAAACGCAAGATTGAAAAAAAATTATTGACATCTTAATTTCAAATTTTATGTGCCATGAAGATTTCCCTCTTCATACCGTATTACATTGTACACAACAACGAGATCTACATCTCAAGTGGTGATGATGATGATAATAATAGTAACAATAGTAATAATGATAAAAATAATAATAATAATAATAATAATAATACATAAAGATAAAAATGTCCCTGTTTATCGAAAGAACCGAGCCTTCATTCACCGTCTACTGTGAAAAACAATAGCTTTTCATTGAAAGCCAAACCAACGGTTGTTTATCATAGATTTCGAAAGCAAAGATTGCTGTTGAGCTGTGACTGAAAAAAAAAAAAAAAACAAAAACAAACAAAAAAACCAGTCAATTCGATTTCAAGCGAGAACTGATTCACATATATACGCAACAGGTTGTGTATCATCGAAGATTCGCAGCGAAAGATAATTAATTTCATTGGATTGCAACCTCTATATATTATGTACACGAGCGGGGTAAGATGGAGCGACACAGTCGATCGACCGTATCGGCATCGCAGGTACATACATATATAATAGCTGGTGGGCATCTGCACAGCTCCGGCTCTAGGGCGCCCGCGGATGGGCCATGCACGTATAGAACCCATAAAAACACCCATACGGGACGTATCATCTCGCTTCCGCTTAATTTGTCATCCCGCGAGAGCCCCCAACAATATCCATCCGTCTATCCGCAAAATCCTCGGAGCAAAAGAGGAGGAGGAGGATAGGGTTGAAACATACCTACACAACGTGCATGTGCTTTTTAATATACCCACATTACCGTCTCTCGGTTGAAAAATGCCGGCAGGACGATCCTTTCTCTCCCTCGGCGACTCGTTTGCATATCGTTACGTGCAGCGTGTGTGTGGGTATACGTGTACACACACCCTCGCGTGCGCTTCACGAGGGAGAGCCGCCTCCCGAGAATTCACGCCCGAGGAGGAGGACGCGAGGGAGGCTTGCTTTGGAATTCAATCGGCCGGCCGATCCTCCATGTGTATATATATATATAATGTACCCTGCAGGCTGTTCCTGCTCCGCTGACAGGCGATCTCGCGAGATACGATCGAGACTCCGAGCTCCCAGGGACTCCCTCCGCGTGCAAAGTCAATTTGTCCCGAGAGCCCCCCGTCCCCACTACCCCTTCTTCTCGCTGATGATGCCAAGCTCGCTTTCGCTTGGAGTGCACGTAGTATACATGTGTTGTAGGGTGGGTACGTTTTACTTGTACCTATATGCCCCTTTTTGTTTCATCCTCCGGCGGGTTACCGATTTTTCTCGATTTTCACGAGTGGCAATACCATATGAAGAATTTTTCACGGCGGTCATCGATAAATTAATGTGGTGCTCAGAGTTTTTGCGGATACGAGGTGTGAAAAAAAAAAAAAAAAAACCTACATGGGTGTGTGAATTTTTTTATTTTATTAGCGCTATATTATACAATTACAAAGTTCATTACGTTAACCAAGTGGATTTTGGATCAGGGGTTGTTGTACTTTCGTGTCGTGCGCGCAGGGGGTGTTGGACAGTATATTACGTTCGGCGTTCGATATAATTATCCGATACGATTTTGCAACTATTGTGTACTTAAATGCGCTACGGATAGATAATGACATGCGTATATGGTATTATTTACAGCTTACTTATTTATGGTGTTGTGGTTGAGTGTAATTATTAGGTGTACGGTTTGCCAACCCCTATACACGTGCACAAGTTATCGGTGATTTTTAACATTTTCTCAGCTCTACCTACACTTTTCACGAGCAATGATTTATATATATAAACTAGAAGAAACAATAACGTTCGGTGACAATTTATCCAACTGATTGCATCGGTCGATCGCTATTACAAGAGAGTCACACACCACCTCCTGACGTAGCTCTGGGCGATGAACGACCACGGATGTAGACGTACACTACAATGCTTTTAAAAGGACAAGTCCTTAGACAGATGGACCATCTCGCCCACTTTTACACTTTAATATTATATCTACATGAGTTATCTATATACGCGTATACTATTTTTGGGAGGAAAAAGAGGACAGTTCACTTTCGGGATAGAATGAGACATCTCGAATTTTTGGAGGTGAAGGGAAACATGCCTTAATAGCCAAAGTGCTTCCTTTTACCATCAGTAGTCGAGATATCTTTCCTTTTTTTTTTCATCCAAAAAAAAGCAACTGCCTCCTTGTTCCTTTAAAGTTACGATACGCATATACTTACATCGACGACTCGAAGAATAAAAATTTTTCATTCATATCATGAAGAAGTAAGATAAAAAAATTAAGAAATTATTTTTCAACACCACGAATTTTGTAAGAAACGACATTTTCGAGGTAGAAAATTTCAGATGAGCGCTTTCTTCGAGCCATCGATGTAATGAAACTGCATTATATTCACCACGCAATAACCTCGCACGCCATTTTTTGGATGCAATAAAATAAAATTAAAAAAGAAAGAAAGAAAGAAAAAAAACACTTTTACCTTCACCTCATCGTATACGAGTATTTACAATACGTGACGGAAATTGTGCGCGTTTCGATAATCAACGAAATTTCTCTAAAACAAGACACACGTCTCTTTTGGCGGAAAAAAAAAAAAAAAAAAAAAAAAAAAAAAAAAAAAAAAAAAAAAAAAA